TGAAAATCAGTTTTTTTATGACTTTGATGAAATTGAGGCATTATACAACCAACTTTGAACTGTCTAGATTCTAGATTGAAACTAGTGTTAAGAATGTTGTGTAAACATGGATTGTTTTTATGTCTAAACAGTGGCGTGAGGCTAACACTTGGCCATTTAGTTGTTTAGTCAGGTATTTTTCGCCATCCAACTTCAAATTAAAGTTTCCTACAACTTGGATTATTATTGACAGCACAGAATATCCCGTGATAAAACCTAAAGCTCCTAGAGCTCAGGCAACCTTTTCATCATATAAAAACAGAAACACTGAAAATACTTGTATGTTCGACACCTGGTGGTTTAGTCAACTACCGGTATGTCTCTAATGCATACATTGTATGTTGGTTGTACCAGTGACTGTGAAATAGTTGAAAGATGTAGAATAGTTCAATTATGTGATCCAGGTGACAGTGTGATGGCAGACAAAGGTTTAAATGTGCAAGATTTGTTTGCTCACTTTTTTCAAAAAAAGAAACAGAATACATTGTAAGTTCCATAACTCTTATACGGGATACAAAAGTCTCCAATTAACACATGCACATAGAGCTAATTATTGGACTTGGCAAAACATACAAAATTCTAATAAATCCTATGAATGGAACTGAAACAAAACTTTCATCTGAAATAACATTTAGTTGTTTTATGTTGTGTAATTTTAGAACTTGTATTGTGCCAAAGGATGCATAAATAAAAGTGACGCAATGAAGTTTGTTCTGATATATATATACATGTATATAAATATTATTTACAATTACATGCACATGTAAATTGTAATGCATATAAAAATAAGGAGATGTGGTATGATATTCAGTGAGTTTATCGAACCAAAGTGCATAAGAAATGGGTTAAGCAGTTACAGGTGTTACTGTCACCGTACAATCTCCAACAATTAGAAAAACTTGTACCGTGTAAAAAATTTCAGAGATTTTACAACTAAGTTTTGTTGTCTCACCTTGACTTTGGTGAATTGTTTATATCTGTTGATGTAAATATAAAAAAGAAGATGTGGTATGATTGCCAATGAGACAACTCTCCACAAGAGACCAAATGACACAGAAATTAACAGCTATAGGTCACAGTACGGCCTTCAACATTGAGCAAAGCACATACCACACAGTGAGCTATAAAAGGCCCCGAAATGACAATGTCAAACAATTTAAACAAGAAAAATAACGACCTAATTAATGTACAAAAAAAGAACGAATAACAAATATGCAACACATAAACAAACGACAACCACTGAATTACAGGCTCCTGACTTGGGACAGGCACATACATGTACATACAGAATGTGGCGGGGTTAAACATGTTAGCGGGATCCAAACCCACCCCCTAACCTGGGACAGTGGTGTAACAGTACAATATAAGAACAAACTATAAAAATCAGTTGAAAGAGGCTTAACTCATCAGATGGATAAATACAAATACAAGTGGACGTGGCCGGGTAGTTGTACATCCAAACAACAAAAAGACACTACGTACAGATCTGAGAGTACTCGCATTTACTGACAGCTAGTTCAAAGCCACTAACAACTGATAAAAAAATCTTGCATCTAAGACTAAATTATCAATCCGTAAGCTCCCTTTAGAATTTTATAAATTTTAGATTTTACATTTCTGAGTTATGGGGTTTTATTCATTAAAAAAGGGGGGATTTTCCAGTTTTTGAACAGCAACTCAAAAATGCTTTAAGCAGTTCGCATGAAACTTTGGTGAATTATTTATAGCTATTGATGTAATCTCCCTATTGATTTTCATAAATTTCAAATATGACATTGAGAAGAAATTGAACTTTATTTGTTTATAGTCTGGCAACAGGTTTATTAAGTATTGCGCAACAGCACAGTGTATTGCACAACAGCGAGAAATCTTTAATTTAATATAAATTCAATGCATATAACATATTTCAAGTTCTTTGACTACATTTATTCAGAAACTATAATATGTCAAATATTTAATTACAATCCAAATTCCGACCTGTATCAAGCTTGAATATTGTGTCCATTTTTGCCCCAACTGTTCAGGGTTGGACCTCTGCGGGTGTATCCAGCTGCGCTCAGCGAATCAGTTTATTTCTTAATTAAAAACTTCTTTTTGTCGAGCCTGCGACTTTTGTCGCAGAAAGCTCGACATAGGGATAGTGATCCAGCGGCGGCGTTAGCCAACTTCTTAAAAGCTTTATATTTTAGAAGGTGGAAGGTCTGTTTGCTTCATACTTTGTATATGGATGCCTCATGTTACGAAGTTTCCGTCAGTCACATGTCCAATGTCCTTGACCTCATTTTCATGGTTTAGTGACTACTTGGAAAAAAAGTTAAGATTTTTTGTAATGCTAAATTCTCTCTTATTATAAGTAATAGGATGACTATATTTGGTATGTGCGTACCTTGCAAGGTCCTCATGCCCGTCAGACAGTTTTCACTTGACCTCGACCTCATTTCATGGATGAGTGAACAAGGTTAAGTTTTGGTGGTCAAGTCCATATCTCAGATACTATAAGCAATAGGTCTAGTATATTCGGTGTATGGAAGGACTGTAAGGTGTACATGTCCAACTGGCAGGTGTCATCTGACCTTGACCTCATTTTCATGGTTCAGTGGTTATAGTTAAGTTTTTGTGTTTTGGTCTGTTTTTCTTATACTGTATGGAATAGGTCTACTATATTTGGTGTATGGAATGATTGTAAGGTGTACATGTCTAGCCGGCAGGTGTCATCTGACCTTGACCTCATTTTCATGGTTCAGTGGTCAAAGTTAAGTTCTGAGTTTTGGTCTTTTTGTTCTAATACTATATGCAATAGTTCAACTATATTTGGTGTTTGGAAATATTTTATGATCTATTTGTCGGTCACGCAGGTTTTTTTTTTACCTTGACCTCATTTTCAAGGTTCATTGCTCAGTTTTAAGATTTTGTGTTTTGGTCTGTTTTTCTTAAACTATAAGCAATAGGTCAACTATATTTGTTGTATGGAAGAATTGTTAGCTGTACATGCCTGCCTAGCATGGTTCATCTGACCTTGACCTCATTTTCTTGGTTCAATGTTTAGTTTACTTGGTTAATGTTAAGTTTATGTGACAGTTGTAATAAAGCTTTATATTTAGGACTATCGACATAATATCAATGATTAGTAAAGAAGGCGAGACATTTCAGCGTGTGCACTCTTGTTTCATTCATAAATTACTTTATACTTGGAAATATAATTTTGCTTGGAGTTATAGTTTCTAAAAAAGGATTTTCATTGAAAGAGTTAACATGTTGCAATGTACATTTATTCTACATAGTTCTATGGTACCAAATCAAAAGTTTATATAAAAGAAAGAAGTCAAAGGTTTCCCATCATAGTTTAGTTACATACATTTTTTTTGTACCTGAGGTCGTTGAATATAGATCATTATATAAATAAGGAGATGTGTTATGATTGCCAATGAAACAACTATCATCCATACATTGTACTTACCAGTAACAAACCACATTTGCAAAGTTGAATAAAATACAGTTGATAACATTTACTTATTACTAAAAAGAAAATGCCAAACTATTTTAAACAGTATTTGACTATAAACATAGATAAAAAAAGGTACAAACTGGACATAATGCACTAGTTCATAAACAAGTGAGAACAATCGCCTTCATATAGTGCTCAGAATATGACATTCATAAAACTTGTTCAATATCATTAGAGAACTCTAAATCTTAAATACTGAAAGCCACCTCTGATAAGTACAATGTACTATGCAAGATAATGATATAACTGGACTAAAAATACACACAACCTGTAATTAACTGCCTTTACAGCGCTTTCGCGCTTTGATTTTTTTCTACATGTAGCAAAAAAGAGGGGATTTAGTCCAAATAATTATAACGTCCTAGAAGGCTTTTTATTCTTTTTTATGTTTGCCTTCCTGCAATGTCTCTGAGGATCAAGAAAAGTAAAAAATGATATAGCATCAGAAACCGTCATGATTACATGTATCTGGACTTAGAGGGGGGAAAAGGGTAGCTATGTATTTTTTTTTATTTCAATGTGTAGACTGTAGGGGAGTTTCTTCAGAAAGGGTTTTCATTGGAGGCGTTTTTCCCATGCACGCAGGTATCTGTTTCTATCCATGATCAGGTTGTGTGTCATATTAATTATTATTACTTGTCACTCGTTTTTTTTTTGCTCGACCTGGCCATTATTGGCATTAACAGCCAGTGCACGAACTCGCACGAACGCCAGATTTAGTTAGAGGGGTGATATTCCGACGCGTTTTTTTTAATTCTTGGTCACTCATGTTTAGAAAGAAAGGGAAGAAATCCAAACAATTACCGACCAATCACAAACGTTGTTGCAAATTTGACCTTGTGACGTCAAAGAATTTCCCATAATGCAATTATTGCATATAAATAACAAAAACTACTATACCAATTGAATAAAAAATATTGCATTAAAATGACAAGTTATACCAATTGAAAAAAAAATTGCATTTGAATGACAAATTATACCATTTGAATAAAAAATATTGCATTTAAATGAAAAAATATACCATTTAAATGAAAAATTATACAATTTGAATAAAAAATATTGCATTTAAATGAAGAAATATACAATTTAAATAAAAAAAATATTGCATTTAAATGAAGGAATATACCAATTAAATAAAAAATATTGCATTTAAATGAAAAATATCAAATTTTTGCAACCAATACCATGCTATAAGTATTCAAGTTTTACATCTCTACGATAATTGATGACGATATACATAAAACAAATTTTAGATTGAAAAATCAATAAAGCGTAGTGAAAATGTTCTTAATGGTCATACAAACCATGCAGTATGCAGAAATGTCTGCTTTGCTTTGGGAATTATGGTTCCCTAGAGACTGTATTGTGTACCATGATGTGCATGCAATCCCGTGTACTATCATGTAGTATCTTCTCTGTCTGTCTATACCGTCCACATTTTGATCTTTTTCTTCAGGGAACAATGAGCGGATAGAAACCAAATGTTGCAAACATGTTCCATATAAGGATAACTGTGTTTACCACCCAGGCGGAAACCCAGTTGAAATTAAACAAAAGAAATGGAACTCTTTGTTAGAGAAGGTAAAAAAGGCGAAGTTAGTAAATTGGAATTGTTTACATCTGTTTCTTTGGGCTTTAAAAGTTTAATGAATGTGCCTTATTTCGGATTTTATGCATCTTATGATGTGTTTTTACTTAAATTATTGAATTGAGCTTCGAGATATTTGTAAACTTTTAAATTAGACAAATTTACACAAAACAGTCGATTGTGGTAGGTGCAAATTCTCGTGGATCTTTTTTGTGCATAAGCATAAATTCCGCCGAAAAAAATTACAAAGAAAGATAATAGATTTATCTTCTTAAAGCATCAATTTGCATCTCTGCCCCCGGTGACAGTTTTTTGGGAAAAAATCCCTAGAATAGGCAATAATTTCATCGAATTGAGAAAGTCGAGTACACCTTTTTAGGTTCAGGCGTGTTTGAGTTGACTATTCTGTCTTCAAAATCATATGAAAGAAAGAAAACTATTTTATACATCATCTCGCTTCAGATTCTATTATTTTTATATATTTAGGTTGTAGGTTGGTACAAAATCATTAAAAATTTACAGTATTAAAAGATGAAATATATGGGTCAAGTGAAATACCTTTCTAATGAGTCATAACAACAGAGTAGGCGTGTTCAAAATACAAATTTTTTACCGAGGGAGCTACCATTTGATTTTTATGGGGGGGGGGGGGGGGGGACTACGATGAAAAATTTTGTCCTGCATTATTTTTTAGTTGTAATCTCTGTCCTGCCTTTTTATTTTTCACTCTAATCGGTTCTGCTTTTTTTTTTATTAGTGTATCCTGACTTTTTTTACATAAATTGTCATCCTGCCTTTTTATTTTGCCAACTTGCTCATCCTGCCTTTTTTTTTACTCAAAACTCCTGTCCTGCCTTTTTTCAAATTTCATCCTAGTCTGCCCTTCCACGAAATATTTGATTAGAATTTTTGTAAATATTTTTGAACTTTCGAAAATTCCCCCTGACAACCGATCAGACAATAGTTTTAAATTGACCAAATGCATAAAAGTATATCAAATGAGCCCAATAGCTAGTAGATACATTTGTCTTTTAAAATACAACTGGCATATAAGGATCGTAATGATACTATGTGGATACATTTATCACTTTTCAAGAGCTAAATTGACAGCGCGTCATCACTACAATGGCTTCCATTTTTACGATTATAAAAAATAGGTGGCGTAATGGGGAGATAATTTTGACGAAGTAGAATCCTGACTGCACCCTCATTTCTAATCTGAATCTAAAGATGGCAAGACCCTCAATGGGTATCTCAAAAATTGGTTTTAATTTCAAAGTTATCAAATAACAAAACATTACTCTTTCTAAAATGCCGTTAACCTTAATTAAAAACGTAACCGAAGCAATTAGTGAGTGAAATCAAGAACAAAGGTGCTTTTTTGTAGTGTACAAAAATGATTTCTAACACAGTGATATGATGTTAAGATAACTGGACGGAAGCAACAAAGTGCAATTTTTGATCGACATATGGTCGTTATTCCATTACGACATGTTGAAAACCACCGGAAACTGGAATTTGTGACGAGAAACAACAATTTAAATTGTGAAAATATATTTCAATTCTCACGTTATTTCACGGAAATAATTGGCAGCCGAATCACTTTATCCTATTAATAACTAGATTTTTCCCTTTTTACTGTCTTGAATGTTACTGTCATATACAAATAAAGTGATATCATGTCATTCATGTCAGAAACAAATATGTAACCCTAGGATTTTCTCAAAATGTCCAGAGAGAATCGACCTAAGGTCATCCATTAATCTTATCAATGCCTTCTTTTAACATATTATTTATACGAAATAAGCCACATGTAACGACTGCTACATTTCCCTTTTTGCAACAGTTGAGCCTTTAGTTCTGTTGTCGTATCTGTTGCTTGTGTTATTTTGAAGTTGGCAATTCATGACCTCTAATTTAAAGAGGATTTACGTGTATAGATGTAGCATTCAGGTGCAATGTATTTGTTGTTTTTATTCTATTCATTCAGTTTTGTTTTTCCTTGTCAGTTTTTATTATACGAAAACACATTTTGTTACACAATTTTTTATAATTTACTTTGAAAATGCCCAGGATGATTTGTTTCTTAAAACATCTATAAACAATAATTTTATATACCTTCCAACTCCTTAAGTTCCCTTCCCAAATGATTTGGCAGAACTTTTGATTCATCATTGCGATAGGAATGGAAACAAGCTGGAGACATATGACCTGGTATTTTGTCTAACGTCTTTTTTGTTGGAAGGTGAAATTCGTGATAATCCTTTTTAATCAAATGAATAATAACACTGCATAACAAATAAAATACCAGATACTTAATGATAAAAAAGACAACATCCCTTAAACAAACAAGTGGGATGCTAATTTGGCAGTCTTATTTTTCGCCTCACCTAAACCAACTGATGTTCCTTGTAAAATTCTTCCGGGTAAGTATGTTCACAGTTGGCCTACTAGTATCTCAAAAAATAAGGTCGAAATGTGACTTTCAAATTCAAGGTCAAATTCGTGGTCCCTGTAATCAAATGAATAATAATACTGTATAGAAATAACATACCGGAGACGAAATAAGAAAAGGAAACGAAAAGAAGGCAATACTCCCTCTAAAAAACAACCAAAATAACTACAAAAATTTAACATCACCCAACCTAACTATGTCTTGAATGCAGGTACTCAGCAAATGTAAGCATATTTTGTACTTAGTAACACTAAATATTGAAAAATTGTGTATTTATTCTTGCTTACGATGAAGAAAAACAATGTATATATGCTAGTCCATTTAACTATATCATAAATAAAGGCAACCGTAGTATACCGCTATACAGAATATTGAATTTATTGGTTATTTAAGGTCAATTATCGGGAAATATTAACATTAAAATTAAGAGCACACACTTATCAATTGTTTCCGTGAAATATAGATTAAAATAAAAAGTCATTTTGAAAAAGTTATATTTGACGACGGTCTCATCCTCATCTGTAATGAGTTTATTTCATTGTTCCTGTTTCGTTTGACAAAATGTTGCTGCTGTTGCTTATACTTATTATAGAAACAACAAATATTTCAGCACTTTCTTTAGGCACAGGGGTTTGTCAGAAAAAGAAGTAAGTATTTTTTTCCTCTGTTCATTTGCAGGCTTTATTATATGAACACACATAACAACCTATATACTACATCTTCTTATTTCTATATACATGTTGTCAATAGTGTGTTCTGAAACAGTAAGCAAGTCTTACTTTGTCGTTTTGTTAATTTGTTAGCAACCATACTATCCTGTAATATATAATCAGTGAATGTGTAAAATGTGCAATACCCTTTGTTTTTTATTCTCTTATATTTGGCGAAGCACGCATTCACATATCAAACCATATTCTTACAGAAAATTTAGAAATCGCCCATAGTCTATAAAAATTATGAAAGAGTTCAACACGGACTATAAAAGAAGTGTTAATTTCATAAGTTAAAATTGACGAAAACAGTTAGAAAAATAAACCAATAACGAAGTTCCGGACTCTTTGAACAAGTATTCAAGTATGTTCTAGAGTCAAACCGCTATTAATTCCGTCGATGGAATAACATGGTACACAGGAAAATCATACGAAAGACCGTCTGAATGTTTAGTACCACTCAATTTTGGCACTTAAGAAGCCAAAAACACACTTATTTGTACAAAATGTAAATATATTAAAAAAAAAATGCCGAATTGATTTTGTAGTTAATAAAAAACAGTTTCGCATTAGAATCGTATTGTTTTGATCTCATCGGTAAATAGTCAAGATGAAAGGCGCCAGTCAATAAAATCGCTGTATAATGTGACCTATTCCCGAATAAGACTGTTTTAGCGAGTGAGAATTCGCATTGCTATACAACGTGTCTCAGTATTTATACATCCAACATTCAGGTATTTAGTTATGATGTTCTTCTTTTGTAAGTACAGTTGGATATTGTGTTATGTCTTATCGTTTGTGGTTTGAATTATGCATTTTCGGTACATTTCGCATTTGTCTTATTTGTCAGTATAGTGAGTTAATTTCCATTTACCATGGATAAAGTATCGTGTTAGTCCAAATAATTATGACATCGTCACAGCATTAATTTAAAATAGCCTTTCAAGACCGTCATAATCATGATAATTATTTGGACTAGTATTGTGAAAATAATTGTGAGTTTATGGATTTCGTTCCATATAATTGCCTGAATTTCAAGATTACCTGTGATAATATATATACATCACAAAAATACGTCACTGTTTGTGGTGTCCTATGCTGTCGTTCATGGGAGATGTCTGTTGTTATTCTGTGGTTTACATGTTGTAATGTACTATTATATTATTTATTTATGTATTTCTCTGTACTGAGTGTTCTTGCGTTTGTTTGTACTATATTCCTGTCACGTAGTGTTGTCATTTTAGCGGTATTTTTTAACATTGCCATATAAGCGGGAGATTTGGCTAGCCATAAAACCAGGTTCAACCCACCATTTTTTCTTAAAATGTCCTGTACCAAGTCAGGAATATGGCAGTTGTAATCAAAAAGTCCGTTTCTATGTATGTTGGCGTTTGTTTTTGTTGCAGTTCAGTGTTTCTGTTGTTCCGTTGTTTTCCTCTTAAGTTGATGTGTTTCCCTCGGTTTTAGTTTGTAACACGGATTTGTTTTCTCTTAATCGATTTATGACTTTTGGACAGCGGTATACTACTGTTGCCTTTATATATCTTTGGAATGATTGCTAACAAAAACAGAGGAAGATCGGAGTGAATTAATTTTACAAATAACGCAATAGACTTGTATTAGATCAATAAGTGATCATCCGCAATAGAAAAGATACCATACTTCATATCAAGCTATAAATAGGTCTTTATTTACAGATAAATTGTGAATGTGTTAAACTGAGACTACTAAATTCATGAAATTCCTAACGCCACCACCAAAGTCTCAATAAAAATCAATCCAGAAAATAAAACAATCATTCATTGATATGATAAAGCTCCACTACCACTGAATATGTTTACTTCGTCTTTTGTCAATCGTCCCTTTTATCTGTTCCTAAACATTATTATGATGTTTTTAACGTTTACAGCAACAACAGCAAGTTGTTTTTAGAATGTTGTCAAGGATACAAGTTTAATCAGATTAACCAAACATGTGATGGTAAGTTGATTTCCCTTTCGATGATGAATAACATCTGTAAAAAGTTTTTGATGCATAGTGAATGTACAAATATAATTAATTTGTTTCTTTTGGACATTTATTCACCATTTCGTACATATGCATCTAATCATTAAACCTTATTAAGGTAGTATGGGTGTCTTTCGCCATCTTGGATTGTAAATAACAGAGAACCTAAGGTCCAGATTTTCAATCAAATTAGCAAAATTTGATGAGAAATGCAGAAAACTAATGTGAATTTTCATTTAAAAGAATAAATTTATAAGATATTAACTTATAAATATTAAAATTTTTACAAGCGTAGATTATTTTTGCTTAATTTTTAATGTTTTTAAATTGTCATTTTAAGGGGAGGTAACTCTGAAATAGTGCATTTTCTGAAGGAATCTACATGAAATTTCGCTATTTTATATTTTAGCCAGAAAAAACGTACGGTGACCCTACCTTATCTTTTGATATTCTCAAAGCATTTTCTAAAAGCTATCTTCTATTTTATTTTACAATTCTATCATTTAGTTTAGCTTCTAATCACATAATGATGTTTTTGCTGTATAATCCATACAAAATGTGTCATTTTGTCACAACCTGTAGCTTGAGAAAATGCTCGGTGACCTATCATTTTTATTATATTTTTGAACATATCACAATATATACTACGTTTTGGCAAAGTATGAACAAATTCTATCATTTTTAATTTATACTCCCATACCACCTTAAAGTGATGTATATGTAAGAAAAGATAATCATTAATTTACAATTTCATCGGTCGAGAGCACTTTGCCAGATTCTAGATTAATTAGAATATAGCATAGTACTACTCTCGACCAATGAGCTTGTAGGATTTGATGTTTCTAAATTGTGAAGAATGAAAGTAAAAGGTGTTCTTAATAAGGGATTATATCCAATTGTTTACTTACAGTAAAAAAAATAATCTTTAAATGAGCTACAATGAACGTTTTAACCAACTATCAGATAGTGAAAAATTTATATTTTTTATTTAATAATGAGAATGTTGCCAATGTAGTTGCCAAACCTGCAACTGCATTTTATTGAGAAGAAACAATATTTTATATCGCTAGTTTTAAAAGAAACATCAGTTTTACATTCATGTAGTATAGATGGACATTGTAAATTTTAAATGTAAATGTGTAAAAAAAATATATGTACATATTGTGCCTTAAAAGTCTCTTTTTAAGGTTGTTGCATACATTGCAAATGTTTTAACTGTTTTGTGTGTTATTCTGTGAATCTTATTGTATGTTTGTATGTAGTGAGACTATAATAAAATATGGAATCTGAATCTACAACCACCCCCACCCCCCGAAGAATATTTATCAGTTTGACAAGCATTTATGACTTAAACTGATTAAAAAATGAACTTTGAAAGAAAAAAACACTTGGTAAACATCTGATTTGATTGCTATCCTTTCTATCGTATACCTTAACTTTTCATTGATCACATAGATCCTTATGTCATTAAATGTTTCTAAAAATCTGGTGAAAAATTATGAAAGCATGTAAGAACATAAGTTTATGCAACGAACGGTCGACGATTTATTTATCTATAACCATAATCATATAGCAGACATGGGCATTATTATACTTACCATTGTATTCGTTTGGTGTCTCGTTCATCGTTCTTAAATTTCTGTCTTATTGGATAATTATTCAATTTGCTAAAAAGTGTAATTATTCTGTTGCTTTTGTTTTGTTTTTTTTATAATCATTTTAATTTTTTTGGGTAGAGCTGGTTTATTGCTTTAATTATATTAATTTGTTTGTTTTGTTTGATTTTGTTGTATTTTAGAGGCCTTTCACAAATTCGTTTAATAATTTCACGCGCACTTGTATTTACAGAATGTCCTGAAGGAAAATACGGCTATAACTGTAAACATGACTGTTTAGAAAATTACTTTGGCTTACGCTGTAGAGAAAGATGCAATTGTAAAGAAAACGAAACGTAAGTTGAGAAATGTATGTTTCGAGTATATGAATCAAATGGTTTGTTGTTAACAAAAGAATACTTTACCCTGAATTTGACCTACCGATTTGGACTTATCACAGGGTTTGTACTTGCATGATCAACACGACCGTTGCCACATGTGGAGCACCTAAGATGACCCTCTCTTTTGATCATTGAAAATCAAAGAATTGTGTCAAATTCAGTAGAAACTGCTTATCAAAATTCTAACTTAGCTTACATCTAATACTTTGTGAAGCGTTACTAATCAAATACAATGAGGCCATTTTATAATTACATGTTACATAAACATATTATGTTCACATGATACTTCAACTAAATGTTTTATCAATTAAACACGAGCTCAAAGATCAGGTATTTGATATGCAATACTGAAATCCTACATATTGAAGATTAATTCAAACTTCATGTTTCTTCATGGCAGTGAGATAATATATGATAATCGACGCAGATTTAAGTCACAACCTTAGTTTTTATTTAATTCTACAAGTCACACAAATTCATTGTTGTCTGAGATTTCTATCCTAGACAAGAACACTTATATGATTGTTTAAGAACAGTTTAGAACTGTTCTATGACAGATTACTAGTATTAAGACATTTCTAAAGACATATAAGAACTAATCCCAACGTTCAATTCGAGCTTATCACAAAAAGACAGTTTCCGAATTTATACGTAATGTTTCTTATTTGTTTATATTACAAAACATTGGAAAGATTGATAAATTGAAATTTGCTTAACGTGCAGAAACATATACTCAATGTATGGTCAGGACTAGAACAATCAAACTCACAATAATTTATTGGGTAGATTATGCTTAAAGGGTCAGTTAAGGTGAAGGAAGAGAGGTATAGACTGCCACTGAAAAATGAGAACATATTAGAAAGGCTTACATAGTTTGCCTTACAATAATGGCTTAATTTGAAACTTGACACTTGTGGAAGAGCACCTTAGATCTTTGTCTCGCCTTGACGGAGTCAAAAAGCGAGACATAGGCTATGTTGTTTCCGGTGGCGGCGGCGTCAACAATGTATTGGTTTGTGATTAGGTCATTTTATGGGAAACCGCTGATGGTGGGTCAATGGTATTTGGTATGCAGTTTTATCAGCATCGGACATCTCATTTCCATAGAGATTATTTGGCCCTGCCCCTGTCATGGGCTATTGACTTTGAAACTTTTGCTTAGTTTACATGTTTTAGTTTGTTATTAGGTCAGTTTATGGAGAACCACTAGTGGTAGGTCAATAATATTAGGTATGCAGTTGTATTAGCATTGGCACATCTCCTTTCCATAGAAATTATTTGGTCACCTTCAGTCATGGTTCATTTACTTTGAATATTTTGTATCACTTACATTTTTAAGTATAGCTATTTTAATTTCAACATTTGCATTTTACTATCAAAATATAAAAAGGCAGGACATTTCTCGGTGTTAACAGCTTATTTTGATAAGTTTCTTGTTGCTCAGTCTTTAGTTTTTCTATGTAGTATTTTGTAGACTGTTGTTTGTCTTTGTCTTTCCGTCGTTTTTTTCGGGTTTTGCCATGGTGTCGTCGGTTTCTCGTTGATTGTTCCTTTGATACTTCCGCCAATGAATCCCTCCATGAGCTGTTACATAGTTTTTAACATGCAGAAAACGTGGTGCATTTCCTATTAGTTTCCGCGGATTAACCGTACATGACTGCATATTTTTACACCACAAACAGCCACATGGGTGACCACTTCGTAATTTGTGGGAAAGTAAATTGACACATTTGACAAGAGACAAAAGCACTCGCTGACGTGTAAGAATTGTCAAACATATTGGATATTTTGAAACGGAAACAACAAAGTCTGCGTGAATAAGATGATTACACAATGAAAAAATCGAAAGATAGTTGAAGCAGAGAAGTATGTATTAACTAAGAGGGGACAACGCGTAGTCAACAGACAAACTGATTTTAAAAACCTCATCTCTTAATATAAATATATTGTAACAAAAATACCAAACTCAAGGCAAATTCAAAAAGGGGAATTTCATAAAAATTGAAAAATCAAACGTTATCAACTAACAGAACGAACAAAAAAAAACTGTCAAAGTTGTGATGCACCTCTGTCATTTAATATTATAGTTGACAGTGAATAAGTCTAAGGACGCCTGCCTTCGCTGTTGAATCGAGGAAAAAGTGGCATCCATTGACAATACTTTTCAAAAGATGTGCTAATTACATCTTCAATTGGACATCCATAAGTGAAAATTTGAAGCCATTAAGAAGCGTTCCGCGTAATAACACTTTTTAGTTAAACAGCAAATAACCAGAGTTACTAAAATTCATTAGCTCATGCATGATTATTGCTATACATACTGTTCGACAGACACAACACTTACAGACTTATTTTCAAGAGGCATGACTGCTGTAGCTTATAGATGCCACAAAATTTGCATCATCAAAAAAAAAAAGACGGAGCTCTTATGTAATATGTTTCGTCCTTTTATCAAGAATGACTTATGGACTAAGGATTAAGCATTTGTATCGGTATAAATATTTTAACAAGACCTTCCAGAAAATACATTGATTACACTAAGCGTTTCGATTCACTTAGCATCATTGTAAAAATCATAATTTCGAATATTCCTATGTTAAAATCATAATTTCGAATGTTCCTATGTTAAAATCATGATTTCGAATATTCCTATGTTAAAATCATAATTTCGAATAATTCTGCACATTATCATCTTTCGATAAAGAATTAGAGTTTCATACATTACTTTTGCCTAGTAAAAGGAAATGGAGTTTCTCCTTTTATAAATGAAGCATGTAACATGGTTTAGTTGTTGGTTGGTTTGAGAAGTTTGTAGTATGGACAACAAATTGTTCAAATATTTTGGAAGAGGTTTGAGTGCTTATAAATATCGTCACACTGGCGCAACCTATATTGAAAGAAAGCCAATAATCTAATACATTATCGGATTCAACGGACAGAATCTCATTTTCTATCCCAGTATCTGTGGAATAAGGACTCCACCATATAGGTATCCGGAGATCAAAATTTGAAACATTCATTGAAAGTTTTATCTCAATCATGAGATAATAACTCTCACATTTCAAGTCTCAAGATTTCTGTACAAAAAATATATACATTAACCTTTTGACTTTTCTTGTTTTAGAAACAGGAACTGCCATCATGACCGTGTTTCCTTGGTTGTATAATATGTTTCCCTGTTAACATGGCTTGAATAACCCAATATGTTTACGTCCCTATTTACATTACTAATAAATAATCCATTTTGTTATAGTCTTAAAAATATATTTTAGTCTTGGAAAATATGGTTTATTTATAAGTTAAAACAGGATTTAAATTGCTTTAAGTAACTGCTGGTACTTTAAGATCAGTACCTTGTGTCTTTTATAAAAATAAGGAGATGTTGTATGATTGCCAATGACACAACTATCCCTCAGAGTTCAAATGAATTGTATGTAAGAAATTATAGGCAACCGTACGTCATTCAACAATAAAAAAACCCATACCGTAAAGTCGGCTATGTTTCATTTTCTATTTCTTTTTTCTTGTGCTTTCGACTATTTTGTATTTTTTTTGTTTCGTTATTCTTTTGTGCCAGGTAAGGCTGGAGAGGGGTGTTGTGCGCCCACCAATATGGTTAACCTCCATATCCTTACTGTGTCTGTCAGAAGCCTGTAATTCAGTGGTCGTTGTTGCTTGTTTTCTGTCATATTTGTCTCTTATTTATTGTTTCAGCATCAATCTTTTTCCTTTTAGAATTGTAATACATTTTTCATACCGAGGCAATTTATTATATGTATTATATATAATTTTCGTGTTGCTCAGTCTAGTTTGTTTATGTAGTGCTTTGTGGACTTCGTCTTTTCGATTTTTACCATTGCGTTGTCAGTATTTCTCCTACTTTGAATATGCTTTTGGTATCTTCTGCCATATGTTTACAATACAGTGTGGGCTTTACTCATATGGGTAGACCGTATGGTAACTGTTAGCATTCCCGTCTGTTAATCAATGTTTGATAGGTCTTGTTGGCATTCATATATTTTTTTTTAAAATAGCAATAAATCGTAAAAAATATACTCTATTTGTAGATGCAATTATATGTCATGACGTGTACGGTACAACACATGTTTGTTGAAATGATCCTTTCTTAGACTGATTATTTGTAAAACCACTAATGAAAATATAAGCTGCCCTTATGCACACCTGGAATGATGCTATATAAAAGAGGAGTATGTTTTGCAATAACATGCAAACAACTCAGTTGCTAATATGTTGTGCATATTTAGGGCGACCATGACCCAAATAAGATGATACACTGACATATTCAACTGAAGAGAAAGCAAATGCTTGTAAAAATTGAGATGGGATTTTTTAATTATAATTTGTATAGTATTGCCAATTTCTTTTACTCAGAAAAATAAAGTAAAATAAAAAATAAATAAGCAAAAAAAAGGTATATTTCTATACTTCAAGGCATGTACACTCATGGAAATACAAAACTTACACAATATTTTCTAGCTCTTACCTTGTAGAACAAATGCATCCTTGTCTTATAATGTATTTGAAAGATTTTTCCATATGAGATATCTGTATGATTGAGAGGAGCCGATAAATTTGTAAATGCTTGATCATGCAAAATGGCATTTTTAGATGTGACAAAGTTCATGGTTGCAGAGTAACCAAGAACACTGACACAGGAATAACTCTGATTTATGCTAAAGGTATTATACAATATATTACTACAAATGTATTTATTTTTTAAAAGATCAAATTGAAAAGTTCAAGAGTTATGCACAGGTTGAAACATGTAATTTTGCAATTAGAATAGTCGATGACTAATGATACTCAAACATAAATATAAGATTCAAGTCTCTCTTGAATTTGAGATATAAAACAACATTATTCTTTACTACGATAATAAGAAAAAAAGGTTTCAGTGAATGTAATAAACTTAACTAAGGGTTCAATAAGTCTTTGGAAACGTTATTTTTGATTGTTTGTTTTCTTTTAGATAACATGATAACGCTGCATAAGACGTAAATAATGACACATAATCATTCCTTACCAATAACATTTTGAGAGAGAAAAAAAATGGGTTAACTTTTAAATTATTTTCAGAGTCATCCACCACTTTTAAAGATAAATTGAAAGTACCAACAGGTAAAAATGCTTTATTTTTTTCTTCCTTTATCACACTTTCATGCACATTATTAACGCCTTGTTATATTTTACCTCATAAGTTAGTTTTTCAAAAGATCTATGACATAGATTCAACATCGTTCTTCTTTATCCTTCGATTTGATTCTGTCCCGAATTTAAAAAACTTCATTTCTCACTTCGTGTAAATGACAGTCAAAATGTTTAAATTGAAGAATTTTAGAGATTGATCTTTTTTCTTATAGAGTTCAATAGATAATGTGACCTGTTGGCTATAGGATAATGCGTGTCAGCTTCAAAATTATTTTTTTTATATAACGCCGGTTCATTTTTCTTTATTACCTCCAGTCATATTTTAAAAAATGCATTTCTTACTGTACATGATTATTAGCTCGAAAACGATAAAAATGTTTACACGAAGTTGAATTACGTTTATGATTTAAAGAGAAATAAATTTGACTGTATTCTCAAAGGAACCTTTCAGACATTTTATTTGAATGTTGGTTCAAATGTCAATGACAGTAATGTCGAATTAACATTTTCCGTTAACCATTGAAAAAATTATCAATTTCTTAGCAGTAACATACCTGCTGTCCCTTCGTATACCGTACACATATCTTTGTATAAGGATACTCTTTAAATCAAGATACTTTCAAAAAGTATTTTAATAAGAATAAATCTAACAATCATGATATCAATTTAAACCATCGGTACTGATACTTTGGCAAGCATTCAAGACATATATTTTAATAGAATAAACTTGTGTTTAAAATAAGTATCATTAAATTTTTGATAAATGGCATACTGTTTTGAATATGTATCCCTTTATATACCAAAAGCATTGATAAACTTCTAACAAGTGTTTGGGTACACGAATAATGAATAATAAAAATTGAGGACCAAATATTCCGAAAGGTTTTGCAGCTGAGGTAATCCATTCCTGGGGTAGAAAATCCTTATAATTCCAAACATATTCTAAGTTTTGTTAACAGTTAATTTGTAGTTATGTCAATATCAATGATAATCCAGATCAACACAGAAGTGCTGACTACTGGCCTGTTGATACCATTGTGGAGGAAACCTCCTCCAGCAGTTAACTAAGGGTTGAATAAGTTTTTAAAACAAAACTCCATTTTGCTTGTTTGTTTTCTTTTAGATAAAATGTGAACGCTGCATAAGGTGTAAATAATGACACATTCCTTACCAATCACATTTTGAGAAAAATAAAAATTTGTTAACTTTTAAATTATTTTCAGAGTCATCCACCACTTTGAAAGATGAATTGACAATACCAACAAGTAAGAATGCTTTATTTTTTTCTTCCTTTCATGCACATTATTATTGCCTGTAATATTTTACCTCATAAGATAGTTTTTCAAAAGATCTATGACATAGATCTAACATCGTCCTAATTTATCCTTAGATTTGATTCTGTCCCGAATTTAAAAAACTTCGTTTTTCACTTCGTGTAAATGACAGTCAAAATGTTTAAATTGACGAACTTTTAGAGATTGATCTTTTTTCTTATAGAGTTCAACAGATAATGTGACCTGTTGGTTATAGGATAATGCGCGTCAGCTTCAAAATAATTTTATTATATTTCGTATATCAAGTATTTAAATTAGGATAAATCTTACAATCATGATATCAATTTAAACCATCGGTATACTCTTTTAAAGTATCCTGATACTTTGGCAAGCATTCAAGACATACATTTAAAAAAAATAAGCTTGTATTTAAAAAAAATATTAATAAACTTTAATAAATGGCATAATATTTTGAATATGTATCCTTTTTTATACCGAAATCATCGGTAAACTTCTAACAAGTATTTTGATTCACGAATAATGAATAATTAAAATTGAGGACCCAAAACTCCGAAAGGTTTTGCAGCTGAGGTAATCTATTCCTGGGGAAGAAAATCCCTATAATTCGAAAAATTCTAAGTTTTGTAAACAGTTAATTTGTAATGATGACAATATAAATGATAATTCAGGTCAACACAGAAGTACTGTTGAAACTTAGGGGAGGAAATCTCCACCAGCAGTTGCATAAAAAGCATCGATATACTTTTAACAAGTATCAGCATACTTATAAAAAGCAAAATCGTATTTAAAAATGGACGTTTAACGAACGATTGCATAAAAACGTGAAGTCGATACTTAGCGTTCTGTTGAAGTTGGAGTCCAATGTTCACCAACAGCATCAGGAATAAATGACGATGGTAAAAATACATCTTGGGTTACAATGTTAAAATCTTCCTACGAAATAAATGATCCTTTGCTTTGAAGATATGTTCACTTATATTATAGAATAATTCCTAGTGAACTTAAGTTATTCGTTTCTTAGACACATGCTACCGTTTATTTGTGCTATGGTTAAACATGAAAACAACACTTTGTCAGGAACACTCATAGCCGAATATTTGGATGCTAAGGATGTAAAAGTACCGAAACCGTAGTAGAGCTATATGACTAAAAGGGACCTTAAATTAATAGGCACATCTATATAAGTTCAACTTTGCTTGCGGGAGTTGACACCTCAGTTTCTTAATACTTTCTAAATCTATATAAACGGCCAATTTATGAAAGACGTGTTAGAAGTACTGACTACTGAGCTGATCATATCCTCGGGGACTGAACCAGCAGTGGTATTTTATTAAAACACCACTTATAGATGTCCTGCATCCGTAGCGCTTTTCTGGATTAACCTGCATTAGGAAAGCTCAAAGCCGTTTCTATCGATATTTTGATAAGTGGATGGGTCATCATCCAACAACCAATATTAAACGTCACATAATACATATCTGTATTGCATCAAAGATTCTTTGATATCTGTCGTGGTGTGTGTTGTTTGAACCTATGCAAAATGATTAAGGTAAAAATTTGATTTATGAACACTGGGTTCCATGAATATTGTGATGAGATATATTCAAGCAGTGGAGTCAATCAGATGTGGATTCTCAAAAATTCTAAAAATCTACTGCTAAATCTTAGATCACAATCTCTGCAATTTTGCAGCAACATTAAGACCTTTGATTTTTCTACGCTTTACACTACTATTCCCTATACTCAATTGAAAGATCGACTTCACCATATCAATAAACAGAGCTTTTTCTATAAAAATGGGAATTGTAGATATAAATTTCTTGTTTCGGGTTATAATAATTCTTATTTTGTGAAGAACCCCACTGATTCTATCAGAAAATACACTGAAGATGATATTATCAAAATGCTGGACTTTTTTGTTGACAATATATTTGTTGAGTTTGGAGGATTTATATTTCAACAGACAGTCGGTATTCCAATGGGTACTAATTGTGCACCCCTTCTTGCCGACTTGTTTTTGTACTCGTATGAAGCAGAATGCATTCAGAACCTTCTAAAAGACAAAAAGAAAACACACCTTGCAAAAATTTTAATTTTTCTTTCAGATATATTGATGATGTCCTATCACTAAATAACATATATTTCAGTCAGCACATGCATATCATATATCCCAGTGAACTTGAAATTAAGGATACTACTGATACTAGAAGGACTGCTTCATACTTTAATCTTTTCTTCAAAATTGACACAGATGGACGACTTCACACTAAAATCTATGACAAACTGGGTGATTTCAACTTCCCAATTATCAATTTCCCATTTCTCAGCAGTAACATACCCTCTGCTCCGTCGTATGGTGTTTACATATCTCAATTGATACGTTATGCTTCACACTATACGGACTTCATATACAGGAGTGTGCTCCTTACGCAGAAATTGGTCCAACAGAGTTTTAAGGAGGAAAGATTAAAAATGACACTCCGTAAATTTTATGGACACCATCACGAATTGGTTGATCTATACGATATGTCAGTGTCTAATCTTACTAACGACATTTTTACCACGTCTTAGATTGTGGTTTAACATCTATGTCGTCTGTCTGCTAAGTACCGAACGTGACCTATTCCCAAATATGACTGTTTTGCCGAGGGTGAATTTGCATTGCTACATGACGTGTCTCTGTATTTATACATCCAACATTCATGTATTCAGTTATGATGTTTCTTTTGTGGATTCGGTTTAATATTCTGCTATCACTTATCGTTTGTGATTTGAATTCTGTATTTTCGGTACATTTCACATATTTTATTTGTCAGTATACTCGAGTTTATATCCATTTTCCATGGATAAAGTATTGTGTTAGTCCAAATAATTATGACGTCGTCACAGCATCAATTTAAAATATCGTCATAATCATGATAATTGTTTGGACTAGTATTGTGAAAATAATTGTATGTATTTCAAGATTAAATATTCGTCACAAAAATACGTCACTGTTTGTGATGTCCTGTGCTGTCGTTAATGGAAGATGTTCGTTGTTATTCTGCGGTTTATTTATTATTTATTGTACGTTTCTCTGTGATGAGTGTTCTTGCGTATGTTTGTGTTGTATTCCTGTCACGTAGTGTTGTCATTTTAGCGATATATTTTTTAACATTGCCATATAAGCGGAGGTTTGGCTAGCCATAAAATCAGGTTCAACCCACCATTTTTTAAAAATGTCCTGTACCAAGTCAGGAATATGGCAGTTGTTATCAAATAGTTCGTTTCTATGTATGTTGGCGTTTGTTTTTGTTGCACTTCAGTGTTTGTGTTGTTCTGTTGTTTTCTTTTATAGTTGATGTGTTTCCCTCGGTTTTAGTTTGTAACCCGGATTTGTTTTCTTTCAATTTATGACTTTTGAACAGCGGTATACTACTGTTGCCTTTATTCGATACGTATGCTGATGGACTATTTGTAACATTTGCCTTGTAGTCTGTTATCCAAAAAATACAACATTATCTACAGGTGATTATCCGCCAATTACGAAGCGATTTTATTTATGCAAATATTTGCCTTTCTAAACTCGGATCAATTATATATTGTATCGCAATCGTGTTTGAGCTAACTCATAAGTAGTACAAAAATATAATAATGGCATTGATTTTATAATATCATATGATTTTTTTTACATGTCTTTATTTAGTTATTACTTGTTTCCCTCATACAACAACCAAACAAACAATGGTGAAACATTGAATGATTACAGATACAAAGCTTTAAATATGTTATTCAATAAAAAATTTCAAATGAACATGTTATTCTTAATAAACTGTTGCACCTAATTTAATATTTCACAAAACATTTTGTAAAATAAGTTAAAGCACAGATCGAAATTTACATTAAACACTTCAAACATTCCCTTATTATATACTTCTTAAACTCCTCTTATCAAAACAAAACATTTAAAAAAAATAGCCTACCTAGACAAAATGAAAATATATTGTTGCAGAGATTTAAACGTTGTGGTTAATTTAGATTATGTGTACTTGTAATCATGATGAATTAAATCTAAACACTTTTCTATATTTCAAATTGGCCATGGTTTTTTTTCAATTTGTTTTATAAAAATACATTGTAGAACATATGACTCATACATTGCAAGGTGATGATGGCGGAGACCCAGTCAACAGTATAATTATTGCCGTGCTACTAACTGTTTTGGTTATTATCGTTTTAGTTATGGTATGGTATGTAATTTTAAAATAGACATCTCCGCGTGTTATTTCAGAACATGAAAGTGACTAATAAAAGTTACCAGAAAAACAAATTCGTTTCAACCAAATAACAACACAAATATTAGTATAACTCGAAACAAAATATTCCCTGCATATTAAGTGTGAAAAATCATTAAAACGTGCCCACTAAATTATTAGAATTTATTTTTATTATCTTTTAAGAACAATCATAATGTTTTCTCTCATATATTTTTAAGGACTTATTGTAATTGTTTTCACTTGATTCTTTGTCCATATATCTAGGCTTTCCATTAAAAAATGTTGTTCTAAAAATCTTATCGTTTAATAATAGATGTGATGAAGCTCTAAAAACACATAAAAGAAGCCAGGCTTATACTTTGGTACGCCAGACGCACGTTAAATCTACAGATGACTACATTATTAAACAGCAACGCGTAAACATTTTCATATAAATTTTGGGTTTGCCAATTATAGCTTGAAACGGAGTTTTCTATTTCTGTACATGGAGAAATTTGTCACATTGAGATTAAATTTAACAGAGTAACACAATCCCACATACTAGTATAGTTCAACTTTCTTTTTCATAAAAGATGACAAATAGCTTTTAAACACGAGGAAATTTGAGTTTAATACATAGAGCATTTACAGTTGTCAATTTCAAACTTTGTCTAAATCTAATAAGTTGATTATCATAGTTATTGCCTTCATGATGTCGAAACTGAGACGGAAGGAAGTGGGAAAATGTTATTCTGTTAAAAACAAACTAACAATGACCATTGTTTATGCCAATCGTCCTTTTGATACATATCGTATATTGTATCTTCTCCTTTGAAACCACTGTGACATTTTCAACCACGTTTTGGTTAAAAATTAGGCATATATCATTCCACACAACTTTTGATACTCATCATATACAAAAATCTCCATTCAGGATTATTTTGGAAACGTTCTCGGCCACAGTAAACTCGTATTGCGGATGATGCATCCATAGCAGGAGACGCATAGATGTACCTGTCGGCGAATCAGTTCTCGTTCCTTTTGTAGTTCAGTTTTCGAACCGTGTAAGATTGTCAGATAAATCAATGAATGAATTAATTTTTTTTATAGCTTATCTGTATTTAGGGAACTGATTGATATAAGTTCTTCCCGTTTTCGAATCCCTGTAATTTCTATTGTATACTTGTAGTTTGTGCACTTGTTAAAAATAAAACATTTCTTAATACAATGTTTATCGATATGTTTTGTGTATTCCTATGGGAACTAATTGCTCTCCTGTAACAGCAGACTTAATGTATTGTTACGGATCACAGTTTATTGCCTAACTCAGTAAAGATCCGTCTAAGTCATTTTGCAGTTACTTTGATGATTTTTTGCTTTAAAAAATCAAGTATTTTTTTTACTATACTGCGGAATATACTTAAGGGAATTTACTTTAAATGAATCTAATATAAACAGCAATAACTGTCATTTTCTAAATTAAATATATCCGTTCGACATGGAATACTCTACAAAAGTTAACAAAAAGGAGGAAATTTTTCGTCCCCATTTTTAATTTTGGTTTTTGGATGTTGATGTTCTTTCTGTCCCTCCTTTCGGTGTGTATATTTTCTAACTCGTTCGCTATACCAGTATCTGTTGTGTCGTTTTGTATTTCACTGAAAATCATCTATTCATAACTGGTAAATGTTAAAGTCAGGAAGTTTGTTACATCCACTTCCTTAAAACCTTTACAAAATTATTTGATAGATACAAATCAAATTGTTGGGAAGTTTAACTGTTCTTGTAGAAACCTTTTACAAACGTGTCTGTTCCATGTCAGCAACTTGTATTGCAGTGGGTATAGTTGGTATATTTGTTTTATTGTTGTTATTTGAGCATAAATCAGGCAGTTGTTTTTTTGCGTTACAACTTATTTTTTGTTTTTTTTTAATTTTGTCATGTCGGGGCCTCTGTAGCTTGTTATGTGGTATTGGATGTTCTTATTGTTGAAGGCCGAACTGTGAAAAATAGTTACTTACATCTACGTGATTTGGTCTCGGGTGGATAGCTTTTTAATAATGGTAACGAGGGTTTAAAATACATAACATTTACTAATATTAGAGAAATTTTAGTTTCAAAATGGATTGCATAAGAAAAGTTGCATAATTTGAAAATATTATTTTTCATAATTTACTTTTATTCATTTGTCCAATAGACATTTAATGAATTTACATGAAGATTGTTGTGACTAGACCAATGCAGATATTCAACTAACTGTCTTCGCTCGCTTACGTTGATCAGTCACAACGTCTTTGTAAATGGCGTCTGGACCAATCAAAACATCAAAAATATGACACACTGACCTACAACGTACATTTGGAATCTCGTTTCTAAATTGGTTGACCTGATTTGTTTTATCAGAGTCAGAGAAAGACTTGTACCAATTAATTAAGAAGTTTTGTTTTAAAAGAACAATTGTAGAAATGCACTCAGAAAATATTTTATTTTATATGACGATGAATTGTTCAAGGCTAATTGTTTATCTGATTCCCGTGACATCCTATAAGATTTATAATCTTGGATTGATTTATATGCCACGACGTGCAGTGTTTAATGCCAGGTGAGACACACATACTCTGTTGAGTTTATCAAATTAATATATTTAAATCTGTGTAGTTTAAGAGTAGAACATTTATGAATGTGGTTACTGGCAATTTGTTTTAGGAAGGAAAGAGAAAAAATATGTAGACGAATAACAGATTCGCGTAAGTACAGAAATATATATGCTATATGGTAGTAATGGTAGGTTTATGCATTGCATTGGTTCTTAACTGTAGACAAGTACTTGTAATATCTATAAACAGAATTAAACAAGCTATCAGAAAAGTGAAAAATGTCTCTTAATGGACATTCAAATGTTTCATCTAGATGACGAAACTAAGTAAAATCACAGTAACATTCTTGACGAAGGGAATGGATAACTCAACTACCGGGTCGAACGGGAGTTTGGGAGAAACAACATAGATTCTTACACGAAAATGCTTCTTTTTTTTTTTTGGTAATATTTGCATGTTTATTTTATTTCATAAAAGCAGAACAATGCAGTTTCTTGCTTAAAAAGCTGAGTATGTGTGACGTTACAGATTTGTTTTACACTAAAATGATGCTCATCTGGTACCTGGTGAATTTCAAAAACTATAGTAGTCCATCGCCAATGTGGTATAATGTAAGCCAATGGACTTCAAGCTTTAAATGTCAATTTATCTTGAACAACTTTTCCATCAAAATGTAACATTCAGATTCGTATACGATGTTTACTTTTAAGTATATTTATACATTTTAGAAATGTCGTCAGTTCATGAGAGGCACAAAAGACGGCATGCAAACGAAGACGACGAAAATGCTTACTCTGAAATTAGAGAGTCGAAGATGGTCAGACCAATGACAGTTTACGGGAGAAAATTATCACAGTGTGACCTGGATAACCAATATAACCATTTGTCACTTAAACAAACAAATGAGATATCTCGCATCAACAACTACCTATATAATATGCCGACAGAGTACACCGAACCAATTGATGGGATTGGAAATGATTGCGAAAAGACATCTGAAAAGACAGATCAGTCTGACAGACCAAATGAAAGTTGATCAATCTGAATTAAATTTTCAAAATAAATTTGGTATACAATCAAATGATTCTGTATTGTGTTTCGCAAAGAAAGAACACATTTACATGTGTCTAATTATAATTTTGATGTTTAAGATATGTACAATGTTTTGAATAAAAATGGAAAAACGTAAAACAATGCCCGAGACTATTCAAAAGCATGATGTAAATAATACAAATAACCCGAGAACAGGTATTGACGAAATTCATTTCTTTTTGAAAGTAAATTCATATTCAAAAAGTTGTCTGTGCTTTCTGAAGAAGATTTATAAAATTCAGTGTACGATTTAAAAAAAAAATTATGTCACATTGATGGAAACTCTTCTGACTCATATTGCTAATATTGACAAATCTAGTTTGCATACTGCAGCAGTTGGTGGTGGGTTTAGTTATCTAATTTTTTGTGTGAAGGTTTAAGTGTAAGTTATGTTAATTAAAGATTAGAATAATTCAAGAAAAAATGTGTGGAATAAAACCGGCCGCATATGGTAAATGTTTTGCTCATTGTTGAAGGTTGTACGGTTACCTTTAGATGCTAATACCAACGTTGTTTGTACAATCGTGTTGTCTCATAGGCGATCATTCCGCAACTCCTTAAAACTAAATAATTCAAGAAATCTTAAGTGGAATAAAATCGGCCGCAGGGAAAAAACAGTAAACGAGGTCTGGCAAGACGATACAAACCGCCGGCATTTTTAATATTGGCAAGTAGGTGTTCTTCTGGTAACAGAAGTAACAAAAGTTCCTCTAAGGAAAATTAGAGTGAACGAGGAGCACGACCCCACACTGACGCTAGGCCATAACTTGAATAACGCTTCCTCGGTACTCGGAGGATAAAATTCAAAACTGGTAACAGTGATGAACCGGCCGCTCTGGTAAACAAGAGAAAGCCGTTTATAAAAAACACAACTTCCCTGTGGCACCACAGGAGAATATTTTAACAAATGGTCAAACGTAGAATTATAGGGTCATGACCCCTGTCATCTTGCCAGATCCCGCCTCTGCACTAATACTGCGACAACTGTTTTATTAAAGATAATACTAACAAACAATGAACAATATCAAAATGCATTAAAAAGAAATCCTTTTATGGAAACGTACACATCTATATGTTTATAGAGTTGAATTCTAGAAATTAAAGTTTTCTCCTTTCTTAGTAAACGTCCGCCATCAAGACATCAGCAGATTATAAGATGCGTAAAACTAGCACTGTCTGTTTGAAATCAGTATCAAGTATTTATATAAAAATGTTCCATCCTCAATTTAAAAGCATTCGTAAAAACGTGAAATTGCAATAACAGTTCACGATATAACTTGACACAACCACTGCAATATTATGTTATTTTAGACGAGTCGAAAAGTTCATCCTCTACAATAATTGCCATACTCCATTTAGTCCGAAAATCAATTGTCTCCAGCTGGATCCGTTTCCGGCCTTCCTAAACTCACTAGGCATATACCTGAAAAAACATTAAAAAAAAACAACAGCAGAAAAAATAATCCAAAATAGGATATTGTCGGGGTAGGTGGGTGGGATTGAACAAGCTTCCCGTTCAAACGTTAGAAAATTTGGAAGTGACGTCACAATACGCTTAAGTCACGTGACAGACACGGTCAAAGTTCAGAATGCAAAGATAAAAGGGGGGACTCGAAATAAATACGGAATTATAACTTTTATTAAACCTGTATTATCAGTAAACCGATAAACATTATTATCCTCATATAGCTACATCTCAACTTTTGGATATAAAGGTGATGCAGACTGAGTATTAACTAAGTATTCAAATTGATCTTTTTGAGACAAATTAAAATAAGCAACGTTGCTTGATTCTGAATCCTATTGTTTAATGTAATTATCATCTTATATATATCATGATTTGATTTATTGAATAGAAAATTGTTTAAACCAAGTATTGAAAAATGTCGATTTTTACTATGATCGATCAAAAAGGATAAGTTGTACTTGTTTAATATGTATAGAAACAAAGGAATTGCAGGAGCCAATAATATCGAATCTGTACATATATGGTTTCCGAATATATCGAGTGCATAATTTCTATATATCTGTTATAAAGGTATGATTTGAAATAAATCTTAAGCAACATTTTGTGACCAATACATATAACATAATATTTAAACTCACCTAACACACCGAAGAACAATTTGTTTTCCTTGTCCGGTAAAGAGCTGAACAATTTATTAACATATCCTTTGAAAAAAATAGGCTAATGGGAATCATAAATTGCCATAATCCTAGCTCCTTTGGGAATCTAGGATCATAGAATTACAAAAAAAATGTAGGATGTTTCTTTTTTAGACTTGCATCTGATGGCTTCGATGGAAATTCAAGATGCATTGACTCTCTGCACAGGTTGTATTTAAAGTAATATCAAAAAATGTACCTACCAACTTAGATCACAACTATCACTTAAAATTATATTTAGGGGTGAAACATCAATATTTATCATTTTCTCTGTAAATTAAAATTCTGTAAGGACTTTTTATTTGTAATTTTGTCTTACTGTGATACTCTGAAATGTACGGAAGCCCATAGGGGACCTAAAAAAAATAATATTATATCGTTATCTCAATATATATGGGTCATTTTCAAAAAATGTCGAATTTTGAAATTGAAAATTTTTTTAAAAGTTACTTATTCAAACAACCCTCTACATAAGCAAATCAAAACAAACAGTACTTATAGAACAACATATTACAAGATGCAATCTTAATAATGTCATACAAGAATATCGTGAAACATTTTTTGATAGGTGGTACAATATTTTGTCTCTCCTGTTACCATTTTCAAAAGAAATTTTGGGTTATTAAGAAAAGGTTTAGATAAAATTTTAAGCTTGTTTTTCGTAGCCAATTAGATGGTTTTCAAGAGAATAATCTTCTATATATATTCATTTTGTGAAATAATAGATTATTTGCCAAATTTCCAGGTTGTACTGAAAAATGCCTCTAAAAATTGGTTTTCAAAGGTTGTAAAAATTACCACCAGTAATGCAAGTCTAAGATAGCAATTCATATGGTTCGGCATTTTTTCTCTCTTTTAAATAAACCCAACATCAAGTAAATCCCTCACATGTTAGTTTACTTTTGTCTTTATGTCATTGGTAACAGGAACGTACGTTAATGATATATCACTATATAAAGTTCTATCCTGTTACCTTTTTGTCTATGATTGGGGATGGGGGGGGGGGGGGGAGTCTCATCACGATTCACGAGTTGATTTTTTTGTCAATCACGAATGAGTGTTTTGCAAATTAAAAGTGTCCAGTGTTTATCCTGTTACCGATATCAGTATTGCACCTGCAAATGCTAAATTGGGAAGATTAAGACGTTATAACCTTAAGATGAGTTCAAACAACGAAAGATTTCATTCTGTTTGCAACTATATGTTATGATAAACTTTTTAACGACGTTTCTGTCTACAATTGTCTATCCTGTTACTGTAACCATAGCAACCATAGTAACAGGATAGACATAACAGGATAGACAAATTTCTTCATTTTCGAATGCTGTTGTGAAATAACTACTCCCTTTGGTAAGGTGATAATGTTTTTCTGTTGTGAATTTGGTTTCCAACACGTTATTGCACTTTTTACAAGTATACTTTTGGTGTAATTAATCAAAATTGTTGGTAACAGCATAGACATGAAAAAAAGTACCCTCTATTTTTTTTCACTAAATGTCTTGAAATTTCTTTTCTCTACACTGTCGTTCAAGAAACGTGCTGTGTTAAATGTAAAGGTTACTTTGCACTTTTGAAATCAACACTGACTTATTCAATATTCATAGGGAGAATAATTTAACGGCTGATTTAAGTAGCGGTAACAGGATGGACATGAATTTCATGTACGCGGATTGAATTAAGTTTGTAGATAAAATGTTACATATAATGATAAAGAAGCTACGATTTTTCGTTAGAGTAATTATTAACGTTCTTAAAAAGTCCCTTTTGCAGATATCAAGGCGATCAGAAAATCGGAAAAAAATCATTTGAAATGTGTTTTTCTAAAACTGTACGCACACAAATTACCCAAAAATCGGACTTAAATACATTTTAATCTTATGAAAATAGATGTAAATCGTGTTTATTATTAATGCTCTGAATCATAAATCCTACAAGCTTTCATTTAAACAATTACAACTGAAATTTCCATTAGAAATAAAAAAATTAGCATGGGTGTATTGAAAATTCGACATTTTTTGAAAATGACCCATATATATATATATATCGCTATTTCGATATAATTAAATCGTTATCTCGATATATTTATATCGTCATATCGATATATCTATTTCGTTATATCGATATAATTAAATCGTTATCTCGATATAATTATATAAGCTAAGGTTTTGTCACTTAGAATTAGATTTAAATACTATTAAATTCTTCATACATATGTAAATAAAATTAAACAAAGAATGCATGAGACTTAGGTTTTGCTTTTTCGACGGCGTCAGCGGCAGCGTTCACAATTTTCACGTTTATGATTTAGCTCAAGTTACACATGAACCACTGATGCTAGATCATAATATTTTGTATGTAGTTGCATTAGTATCCGGTAGTATATTTCGGATTCATGATGATTTTACGCCTATGACCCCGCAGTCACGGTCCATTGACTTTGGAGTTTTCAATGCAAATTCAATGCTAAAGTTTGTGATATTTATAGATAAGTGAATGAGTAAATCCGTACCGGCCAGGTTATCATTCCGATACCCCATATAGGCTGAGACGTAGTCGGGAAGGCGCAAACATTTTGGGTATATAATTTACAAAATATGAAGATTTGCCAAAAAATTCATATTTTTTCAAAGTAAAAGGGCCATTTCGCCCCCCTCTCAATCCGCCACTGAATGCCTCACGGACAATTTGCAACAGGCGAGACATATCTCTTTATTTACAGTCATAATTATGGTCAAATTGGTTACACCTAGGCCCGGCACCTATAGGGTTCAATTGTAATCAAAGCGGTCCGATAGGTTTAGAACCGAGATGATCCATCTAAATTTATGTCCGTTTCGTTCCCTTATATCTATGTTCGTTTCGTTCCCCTATTAGTGCATGCCCCATTTGCAGCACAAGAAATATAAATATATCGAGATAACGATTTAATTATATCGAAATAACGATATATATATTGAGATAACGATATAATATTATTTTTTTAGGTCCCCTATGGG